CCAGATTTTTGAAATTTTCTGATGGGTCGAAGATCTTAGATACACAATGTTTTTGCAGTCATATACATGCGATTTATTTATACAACGTGTTAGTTTTAGATACCCTCAGATAAAACACGGTTTTCAAATGAGATCCAAAACTCGAACGCTTTCTTCCTCCTATTCTTCCTCCGAAGAATAAAATAAAATAAAACACAATGGAAATTAATAATTGTTAAAACGTAATTTTGCAACAATGACATAAAGCTATTGACATTTTTCTTAATGTTTACTTACCCATCCAGAATATTTTTGCGATTTGAAAAAAATGTTTAATGAATATATATATATATATGTATATATAATTTGTTTAACGACTCCAATACATATATATTTATTTATTTATTATTTTTGAGTCCCAAGGCCGCTTACGATTGTTGTGGCACCTTAGGTATCGATGATTCTCGTATGGTGGCGCCCATCTTCTCTCCGGATAGTCGTCTCTAATTTAGCAGTAAGACGAATAATTCAGTCGTTATAGTACGCTTATCTCCGTTTGCTGGATTAATTTGGTAAACTGGTCAAAGTGCGATAGAGGGTGCTAAATTATCCTTGTTAGTTTCTCTTGAATTTCTTCTGCGTGCAATCGTTTATCACTCTAGTGGTCATACGAGTAATAAACCTTTGAATTCATTCGTTTTATTAAAAGTTATTAGTTTTTTAGCAAGTTGAACTCAAAATGTATTTACTTCAAATTGTTTGTTCTAATCTAAGAAAAAAAGAGGACAGTAAATTAAATATGTGTATTTTGTAAGAAAGTGAACATAATGTTCTTACGCAGGTGAGTGTATGTGTGTATTTTTAATTTTAGAAAAGACAAATGAGGTGAGCACCTTTTAAATTTTATACGTTAGAAAATGAGCCTAGACTAGAGCTACTTCAGTAGGACAAGAGCATAGAAATTTGAGTAAATATCGTATTTTTCAGTTAAATTGATTTCTTGAACCTTCCTTTTTTCTAACATCATGAGTAAATATTAATATTGTAAGCGATGGTTCAGGTGTAACAGTGAGTAATGATAGAAGGTATTACTAACAGTAACATGTAAATGGTAAAACTCCCAGTTTCATTTCTAAGCACTTTTCAAAAGAAATTCTTAAATTTGGATTTTTAGAATTTATGGTTTATTTTTTAAAGGTTAACAATCGCATACTGAAAAAAAAATGCACGTTCTATTACTAATAGTATTATACTCAATTTTTGTAACACTATTACGATGTTATTTCATTTTTAGTATGTTTTCACTTTGCCTTTTTGATAGTATTATCATAAATAAAAAATTGCATAAAATTTGTGAAACGAACTTTCTATATTTTAGATGAAAATCATGAAACGTATTATAAACGTGACTGTCTCTATTATTTTAGCAACCTTAGTACCAATTTTTTCTTGTATAACCATTTTAATAACATAGCAACCTTGTTTACTTGTGAAGTAGCACTTTGAAGCTACATTATCTCAGGAAGAACTTTTTATTTTTATTCGCTGAAACAGGGTTCATGCAGTTTCAGAAGTTGCACAGTATTAATCAGCTCTTGCTGTTGAAGATTCAAAAAAAGAAACATGTATAGTATTACTTTCAGTCTTAGAAGTGTTATTGAAAATTGAAAAAGTTTCGGACTTCTTTGAAAATAATAACATTTTGCATCTTAGCTGAATTAACTAATTATCATATTGGAACTATTGTATGTACATAAGAACATAACCATAAAAATGATAAAGGCAGCAAAATGCCATTTAGCTCATTTATATCAACCCTTCACTCACTTAAACAATCAATCAAAACCATGCCAATTGTGACCTTCAGTAACTGTGTGTGTGTGCTCAAAAACTAATCAGAATTGGACTAAGTGCATATACCATGTTATTAGGAAAACTTTTCTACATTAAAAAACAAAAGTATTTATTTTGGTTTGTTTAATTAATCTTTTCAGTTTTAAAAAACTAGTGATACATATGCAGACTACATTATATCTTGTCATCAGAAAATTGTATGTAAGTAAAATGATGGACCTCCAGAGAAACTTTGTAAACAATAAACAATTATTTAATTACAAGCAGTAGACATGTTGAAATCAATGAGAAAACATTGAATGGCACAGTAAACTATTTACCATGTAAAATAAAGCTAGTAGAACTTTACTAAGTAATGGTTAACGAGTGATGAAATAATTAAGTTTGGTTATTCTATGCATATTGTAAGCTCATCGTACGTACTTTAGTAATTTTTCACCCAGCTAAGACAGCTGTTAATACACATAAAAACACATATTTACTCTTGTTAACATAAGAATTTGTATGTTTGCATTGTCTATAGGCTTAGGAATAATGTTAAGCTTTTACAACTTATGGATTTCTAAATAATTGGTATAAAATTGTTTTAATTTGCATAGGGTTACCAGACACTCCAGTAAAATTGGTATTACCCAGTTTTTAGTCTTATTTTTTTATTCCGATCAGAATCTGTAAAAGTATTATATTATCCTAGAGTCTCTGTACCTCAGTGTGTGTTTGCAATGCAGAGGCATTGGAACTGTGAGTGCTACTTGACTTAGTTAGCAACTGTGAATTATATTATTATATTTTCTGGGGGTGCATGCCCCCAGAACCCCCTAGATTGAGCTATCTTTGGCAGTATTGGAACTGCTTTTAGCAACTCCTTGTACTTTCAGTCTTTCATTATAAAATCTGCATGTCTAGCTGAGCACCCCCACTTTGCAGTTCCTTCCTACACCACTTCTGTGTACATTTTATTATTATACAACTTCTTTTAATTTTACTCAGACTCACTTGACAAAGATCTCACAATACAGTGTTCCTATTCTTTCCCTACTACATTTTGTTACCTATCCTGTCATTGGGCAGTTAAAAAAACAAAGATTTGATTCACAAAACCTTCCCAGCTGCGAAAAAAGAAAACAAAGAAGCAACATTTTTCTCTTGAATAGGTTCAAGACAACTGAGGCATGTCTTTTATTTTATTTTTTGCTAGATAAGCTTTTAACAAATTTTGTTTGTCTGTGGCTTTAAAATGCTATGCAATAAACATCAGATTATTTAGCAAATGGCAAAAAATTTGGTATTGTAATTTAAACTGTTTCAGAGCTGCTACAGTGTCACTCCATACAGAAAAAAAAATGATGTCCCAGTTTTTCACTCTGGGAATCTGGCGACCCTAGTTTTGGATGAATTACGAAGTTGAGTTAATGCAAGTCCAACTGTAATATAATTCATTTATCCAGATTATTCTGTTATGTGAAATGTTTATAATACCATATTATTGCATTCTTTTGTGAGTTTTTAATATTAGGTTGATAAAATATATTTTATGTTCTGTAATTTTATTTCCATTAAAATGTGTATGTATGTATTGCCCTCTAATTTTGTTTTCAAATTATATGTTTAATAATAAATTAATTACATGAGAAATGATTAAGTGAAATTCAGTGTGAAACTTGTAATAATTTTAGGAGAGAAAATTAATAACTTATGAGTGAATGTTATATTTCAATATATTAAGTAATAGTGAATTAAACATTTTATACTTCAGGTTGTAATAAGTCTCTTGAAACATTTGATATTATTTTCACTCAGCCTTCACAGAATCTACCACTACCATAAGTGCTTGTGTAATGCATTTTTACACAGTTGATGAAATTGGCAAATGATAAATTTTAAACATTTCATTTGATATGTGAGGGTCTTCATTAGTAAAACACATAAAATAAAGGATCAGAAAATGTAATTGTTAATATGTTAAACTATGCAAATAAAGCATAAGGACATAAAGTGTTTTTTTTGTAGAATCGTTCGTATTGTTATCCAAGTTAGAAGAATAAAGCATAAGGACATATAAGTGTTTCTTTTGTAGAATCGTTCGTATTGTTATCCAAGTTAGAAGAATGAAGCATAAGGACATATAAGTGTTCCTTTTGTAGAATCGTTCGTATTGCTATCCAAGTTAGAAGAATAAAGCGTAAGGACATATAAGTGTTTCTTTTGTAGAATCGTTCGTATTGTTATCCAAGTTAGAAGAATAAAGTATAAGGACATATAAGTGTTTCTTTTGTAGAATCGTTCGTATTGCTATCCGAGTAAGAAGAACATATTCATCCTTTCATACTTACAAAACAAAAATAACCAGCCTTACAACACAAGAAGTTTCTACTGCATTGAGACCTTTCTACTTCACTGTTCATCCTGACTTGTTTTGGCAGTATCCAGCAGAAAAGGTAATAATCTGTTCAGTTAACAGTGACTTAGAATTTCTGATCTCTTAAACTCGACTCTGTAGTTAGCCAACAAGAACAGTTAAAAACCGAGAGAAAAGTTTTCTTTCTTTCCTATCCAGAAACTCCCACTGGAGCTTTCGTTTCATTAAATATTATGTTTACGATTAAATAATACATTTGATTGATTGTCTTTAATTACAGTAATTAACAATGATGTTTTTAGGCATACTGGTTTTTTATTACAGTAATACACTACAAACAATGCCAGTTAGTTTTGACAGTAGTATACAGGTAGCAGCTTTGACCAAAAAATTAACATTAATGTATATTTTCATTCATCGCAAATGTTTGAATATCATTTTGGTCATTTCATGTAATCGTGTTTTTATCAAAATTGAGAAAACCTGATACAGTTATATAAAGAAATTTGAGATCGGACCCCCTCATCATCTTCTATTTTACTCTTTGTCATTTCTAACTAACTATATATCATATATGCATGTACCATGTTTTAATTTTAAACTAGTCACAGAAGGTTTGGCTCTAGCAGTATACACCGTACATGGCATTTTTAATGAACCGGTAAACTTGTATTAACACCAGGTATCAGTACCAAAAATACTTTTCCTATTAAGGTAGAGTTTAATAGAGTATCATTGTACCATTGCTTATTAGTTCTTTATTTTCTATATTTTTTAGGCTCTGTTATATAATTATAAACACTATAATTTGTTTTTGTATATATGTATTCATATATGCCAGGGCTAAAGCTGTAACTGTTATTAGTAATTCTTTTCATGGCAAAATACTGATATCAATTATTTCTATTTTGTGATTTGTTCAAATAATCAGACTTTTGTAATGTGTCTAAGTTATGATGATGTATTCTCTTATAATTTGTTTAAACAGTACTCATGGTGCAGTCTATTGTAAACATTAGTGTTGATGTATTCTCTTATTTGTTTTAACAGTGCTCATGATGC